CCATATTTTTGGAAGCCAATATTAAACTGACTGACAAATATAAATTATAAATTCATTTGTAAACAACCTAGCAATCACTTTATCATTAGTACAATGAGAGGTATGATTAGCACACCCCCCAAATATTAATGGTGATTTGTTCACCGTTTCAACCAATTTTATCAAGGGCATATTTTGTATAACGATAGCATGTGCTTTGCAGTGTTTGTTGCGATCCTAAGCTTTTGTGATATCCATGTGTTCATGTGTTCTAATTTTATAAACTTTGATTGATAACTCATAACCCCCTTTTGTGAGGATTTTAAAAGGTTACACATGAATAGGGAACTTGACAAGTTTTACCCATAACAACAATAAAAATCATTAACCCTGGTATAAACAACAACAAAATTCAATAAAATGGAAATAATTAGGTTGGTAGATTTTGCTATTCAGTTCAAACTAAAAAAAATAATGGGCAAGAGTGACACATTTTTCTTTTAGATAGTAAAAATAAATTTGTCATTTTCTTCTTTTGCAACAAGTTATTCATACTTCACGGCTTCAATGTTTATTTTATGTTGATGCTATTTTTAGCATGACTTCACAAAATGGTTTTCATCTTCAACTTGTTTGAAATCACAAATATCCTAGATTCTCTCATTACAGCGATTCTACAGTGATACAGTATATATTCATAAGCTGCCATCCCCACAACAAGTGGTATAGCCCATGTTAAATTGACACCTGTAACACCTAAAACAACATCATCCCAATAGCGAATGAGAAACATGCATCTTTGTAACTGTACATGTTCATAATTTGGACATGCAAATTGCATCATTGAAGTTTCTCAGTGATTAAAATACTGTAAATGCATTAATTATTTACTACATTTAATTTTTAAATGAAATTAAATCCACTCAAATATGTAAAATTATAATATAATTAATTGTTTCTCTGGCAAATTTGTGAACTTGAAACCAATTGAATTAATGCTCAATCTAAAAAGTGAAATGAATTAGGGAAACTTATACAATATTCTCACTATAAAAAGTTACGTTGGTGTAAATTAATGCACCAGTTAATTAAAAAGATAAGAATCCCCTAATCTTTATTTCACACCTGTATTTTTTATAAGAGACATAAACATAATGATCACCGGATGATGCACACAATGGTGCTGACTCATAGCCTTGGCAATGGTCAGTTCACCATATATTTCTTTTGTGTTGAGCAATGAGAGTTATCAATTTTGGGTCGTGTAAAATGTCAATATTATACATGTACATAATATAAACTTTCGAATTTAACATCATATACAGGTTAATATAACAACTTAAACTGATTTACATACATGCATACATACTTTGAAATACGATAAATATAAATACAGTTGACTGTGGCACTCAAATTCAGTTAAAGACACCAATGCACAATACCCTATGCAAAAGGTTGCCAATGCTGTTTCCTTGCAAGAGGGTTTAGACAATCTTTAAGTCCCTTTACATTGGCATAGTGTGTTTAAACCTGTTTGAAGCCGGCGTAAGTATTGCGTAATAGTAACACCAGTAATAATCTGCTGATACCCCACTTCCGTATTTATAAGCATCTTCAGATCATTGTAACATGTTTGTTTACATCTGAATTTTTCTCTTACAGCGACATATATAAAGGGACACACAAAAACAGATGTGAACACTATATGCACGTAAATGTGTGAAAACAAACTGTTTTTAGAGTAAACTGAAACCTATCCCTTCCCCAAACAAAAAATGTGTAAAATGAAAAAAATATTATGAGGTTATTATGAAAATATGGGAAGGTATACGCAAAGGCAGTACGGGATCATATTGACTATTGACACATAGCGGGGATCAATGCTTTACTGTACTGTCTGAGTGCATACGTTGTGGTATTATTGTGATATTTTACCTAGCTGCTATTGGTAATAATTTAATGACAGTCTGAAAAAGCAATGAAAAGTCATTTTGCGATGTGTGAACGTTTGTGTTCAGTGACAGGAAACTATATTCGTTAGAAGTTATATAGCTTCAGCGTTTGATATATACAAAGGAAAGTGTTTGGATGTGACATAGACATGATGTACAATTACCAAATAAGGATCTGTAAAACATTTTAACACGTCTATGGTGTTTTACGGACGGGTAAAATTCCATTGTTTTCAATGTCAGATGTGTAATAATATGTTTTATCATTTTTACTGAATAGATAATTTTGAAGTTGAACTGGAAGAAAGGAATTATGTGAGACAAGTTAAAAATGTTTTATTTTCCAAAGTTCTTCCGACTCCATTGCAAACTACAGTCAAGCTCGTAGCAGTCTCTTCTGATTTACTAGAGAATGTTCTGGACCTAGATAAGTCGATCAGTGAAACTGAACACTTCCTAACGTTTGTAAGCGGTAACACTATACTTCCAGGTTCTATACCTATATCTCATAGGTATGGCGGTCACCAGGTAAGGACAGGAGACACTGTCATTATCATGTAGTCAGTCAAATTGAGGTGAATGTTTTTGCATCTTCTGCAATCTAAAAGAACTGATGTTTGCAGCGATCTTGAGCCACAGTGGAACTTGAAAAATCAAGTTTGGTCACTTTTGCGACTGTGGAGTTTTCAAGGAAACAGAAAGATTTTATGCGGTTATAGGGATCTTCCGTAGTCACAGACTAAACTCTGTGCAATTTGTTTATGCTTATTTTGTCATATCTGTATTTCATACTACCCCTGTATTAAATTCTATAACTATAGTACCGGTAGTTGTTTCATATCTGCCTAGGGGGTCACATGTATTATGCAGTATGTATAGGGTCAATTCTCATCAAACAAAGTGGTAATAATGTTCTCATTTGTTTAAAATATTCGGTAATCAATTTCACTATTCTCATATTGAATCCTAATTCAATGGATTACAATTGTCAGATTAATCATGTTAATTCTACATGTCCACATGGATTTTGTTTAGCAGATTTTAGCGAAAATTAATAGCCAGTGAATAATTGTTGATTTTACAGTAAAACATTTAAAACTACATCTGATTTCTCAGCTAAAAACTATACAGTACCAGTATTCCAAGTTCTGTATTTGATCAGCTCACTGTCTGTACAGTTTATACCATATGTTTCTCATCTTTAATTTTAGTTTGGTGAATGGTCTGACCAGTTGGGTGATGGGAGAGCACATTTACTGGGAGAATATGTTAACAGGTAACACATAATTCATAAAATATGAAAAACAGCATCCAGACTAATTTCAGAAAATTTATGCTTTGAAAAAAAACTGTTTATTTTATGTTATTCACCAATAATATTCATATATATTTTATATATATATGGAGGAAAAATCAACCAACTCCCTGTTCCAAGATTTGGATTTAATTTAGCAGATTTTTACTACCAGCACATATATATTATATGATTATTTCAGAGTGCAACATTAATATTAATAGATTATACATTGAAGTGATGATGAAAATTAAATAGTTTCTAGTCACCATATTTACTCTATTAGTAGCACCATATACTTGTGTACATGATCAAATTACATCACGTTTCATGGTACAATAAATAAAATGTATGGTGTGTTTCTAATTGAAATGTGCTTTTAATAGAACAAATATGGTATATTATTTATTCCGCCATTCATCCAGACATTAATATATTGAAATCAAGTTTGATTTTGTTTTGATGTTTATTCCTGTCAAGTATTTCTTACTGCTTATGTGACCTTCTAGTGAAAATTTGTTTTTACAGGAAGCCTTAAAATACCTAATAAAATCCGTTTACTGAGTAATAAATATTGAAAATTTAACGAGAAAAATAAAACTGTGAAACATCTGTACCCTAAAACAGAATCATTTTCGAAGTGTCTTTTATCACATGATTCTGAAAACACTAAATTTGCTCCACACGAGATGACATTGAAACCTGAAAATCCCATTTTCATAATAGACTTTTACTTTTCACTCAGGAATGGGGACCGATGGGAACTACAGTTGAAAGGTTCAGGACTGACTCCGTACTCCAGACGAGGTGATGGCCGAGCAGTGTTGAGATCCTCTATAAGAGAATTTCTGTGTAGTGAAGCTATGTATCATCTAGGTATTCCAACAAGCAGAGCTCTCAGGTATGATTAGAGTCATGCATATTGAATACATCATGAATATTCATGAGTTAGTAACTGTATACCTGTATCATTCAAAACACTCTATTTAGGTGACATTTTTATTAATTTTAGATGAATAAAATTAGAACAATGAAAGGATGCTTTAAATTAGTTAAAAATATGTTATTTTATAACAGGTTGTCTTTTTTTGGAAAAATAATCTAAAAAAGGGTAAATTGGGGCAAATTTCAAAATTTGGGTACGAAAAATAATCATTCTACATTTAAATAAAAGTTTTTGTGATATATAAGGAAGATATTTATATTCTATAGTGTACATGTACTAGCATAACTATTTTTTGACGTTATTCCAGGGATATATTTGGTGACTATTGTTTTGTATCTTGAGGAATTGTGCGCCCTCTACTATTCTGTGCGAGTCATCTGTGAAATACACAGCATGGCGAACAATATAAACATTGCATCGTTAACCATGTAGGTCTTTAATATGATATTTTAATAAAAATTTGTTGAAATTATATTATGTGTGCCAAATTCGATATCGTACAATAGTTATTTAATTACACATGCTTGTGAGGGTAATATCACGATTTGTTGCCTGCCCAAGGGAT